TTTTAATAACGTGTGCATGCATACATACATACATACATACATACATGCACGCACATATACATGCAGAAATAAAAACACAGAGGCAAGAGAGTCAATTTGAATCCAGATGGGATTCAAATCTTTGCTTTCTTGACTTTACATTTTCAACGTCCTTATGTTGTATAAACATACGAATATCAAGAGGGGTACAACCAGGATAAAACTGCTAATGGCTGCCCGTCTTGTGGTGAAATAACCGTTTTCTGTCTGGTAGAGGACCTGAGAATACTGGCGATGTGCATGACAGTATATCCACCCACCCCTCTCCAGAGTTTTGAAGGCTCTAATAAAGTGACAGCCTCAACTAGTTCGGGTCCAGAGTAGAGATACGGGTCGACTCGTACCTGAAAAAAACGTCGCAGATGAGATGAGGAAGGGAAGAACGGGCGGGCAATCCAAGAAAGTGGTGGTAAGTGGGAATTTTTGCCTCTTGAAATGTTGGAGCAAACGGAGCAGCGTAAGCGGGAAATGCTCCTTACTGCCGTAAAGAAGAAAAAAATATTGGTAGTCTTGCTTTCGTTACGCATCGTGATTTGTTTCGTTTTTATTTTCCATTCTCAGATTTTATTCCACAGATCTTTATTTAGCGTCGATACTGAATGCTAAATGCATTTTCCTTCATTTTTAGGCTGTCTGCAGCAGTAACAGAGAATCTCCACAAGATCTGTGATCATTAGCATTTACATTCTTTCAGTAGCACATGCAATGTATTATAGCCTGTCCTAGACAGCTGCAACATCTACTGCACACACACACACACACACACACACACACACAGACCAGTGTCACTGACATGTATAGTATGCAAAATCATGGAGAAGATTATCAGGAGAAGAGTGGTGGAACACCTAGAAAGGAATGATCTCATCAACAGCAGCCAGCATGGTTTCAGGGACGGGAAATCCTGTGTCACAAACCTACTGGAGTTCTATGACATGGTGACAGCAGTAAGACAAGAGAGAGAGGGGTGGGTGGATTGCATTTTCTTGGACTGCAAGAAGCGTTTGACACAGTTCCACACAGAGATTGGTGCAAAAACTGGAGGGACCAAGCAGGGATAACAGGGAAGGCACTACAATGGATCAGGGAATACTTGTCAGGAAGACAGCAGCGAGTCATGGTACGTGGCGAGGTGTCAGAGTGGGCACCTGTGACCAGCGGGGTCCCGCAGGGGTCAGTCCTAGGACCAGTGCTGTTTCTGGTATTTAGTGAACGACATGACGGAAGGAATAGACTCTGAGGTGTCCCTGTTTGCAGATGACGTGAAGTTGATGAGAAGAATACACTCGATCGAAGACACAGGCAGAACTACAAAGGGATCTGGACAGGCTGCAGAACTGGTCCAGCAATTGGCTCCTGGAGTTCAATCCCACCAAGTGCAAAGTCATGAAGATTGGGGAATGGGCAAAGAAGGCCGCAGACGGAGTACAGTCTAGGGGGTCAGAGACTACAAACCTCACTCAAGGAAAAAGATCTTGGGGTGAGTATAACACCAGGCACATCTCCTGAAGCGCACACAACCAAATAACTGCTGCAGCATATGGGGCGCCTAGCAAACCTCAGAACAGCATTCCGACATCTTAATAAGGAATCGTTCAGGACCCTGTACACCGTATACGTTAGGCCCATATTGGAGTATGCGGCACCAGTTTGGAACCCACACCTAGCCAAGCACGTAAAGAAACTAGAGAAGTGCAAAGGTTTGCAACCAAGACTAGTCCCAGAGCTAAGAGGTATGTCCTACGAGGAGAGGTTAAGGGAAATCAACCTGACGACACTGGAGGACAGGAGAGATAGGGGGGACATGATAACAACATACAAAAATACTGAGAGGAATTGACAAGGTGGACAAAGACAGGATGTTCCAGAGATTGGACACAGTAACAAGGGGACACAGTTGGAAGCTAAAGACACAGATGAATCACAGGGATGTTAGGAAGTATTTCTTCAGCCACAGAGTAGTCAGTAAGTGGAATAGTTTGGGAAGCGATGTAGTGGAGGCAGGATCCATACATAGCTTTAAGCAGAGGTATGATAAAGCTCACGGCTCAGGGAGAGTGACCTAGTAGCGATCAGTGAAGAGGCGGGGCCAGGAGCTCGGACTCGACCCCCGCAACCTCAACTAGGTGAGTACAACTAGGTGAGTACACACACACACACACCTCACCACCGCCCATCAGTGACTATCTCCGCCCCGCTGTGTGGTTTTCATGATCCTTTATATGCAGATTTATCCAGCTTGATAATGCAGCAATGGGGCGAAATTCACCTCTCGGTAAGGCCGAGTTTGTGATGCGTTAAGCACGGAAATGTATGGTCAGGGGCTAGTGAATATTTTCTCGTTGCCGGAGGTTACGTTCGTTATCTTAGTCTCCTTAATCTTCTTCCTTTTGCTTCTTCTTCTTCTATTATTGCTTCCGCTGTTGTTTTTACTGTTCTGCTGTTTCTGCTGCTGCTGCTGCCGCTGCTGCTGCTGCTGCTGTTGTTGTTGTTGTTGTTGTTGTTGTTGTTATTGTTGTTGTTGTTGTTTTGTTGTTGTTGTTGTTGTTGTTGTTGTTGTTGTTGCTGCTGCTACTTCTTCTTCTTCTTCTTCTTCTTCTTCTTCTTCTTCTTCTTCTTCTTCTTCTTCTTCTTCTTCTTCTTCTTCTTCTTCTTCTTCTTCTTCTTCTTCTTCTTCTTCTTCTTCTGCTGCTGCTGCTGCTGTTGCTTCTGCTGCTGCTGCTGCTGCTGCTGCTTCTGCTGCTGCTGCTGCTGCTGCTGCTTCTGCTGCTGCTGCTGCTGCTGCTGCTGCTGCTGCTGCTGCTGCTGCTGCTGCTGCTGCTGCTGCTGCTGCTGCTGCTGCTGCTGCTGATGTTGCTGTTACTGCTGCTGTTAATTATAAGACTGGTGATGATGATGGAATTACTGCTTTTCTTATTTTATACTTTTCATCATTATCTGTAATAAGTCTTGTCGTTACACCATTACCACCAGAGTTCACTATTTTAATCTACTTCTCATGTTTCCTCGCTATACTGTGTTCCAGCGGTGCCTCATCCTTCCGTAATATCCCGGGCTCACATCCTCTGCCAGATGAATTAATTTGCTGCCAGAACGAGTCTTCTCTTTTTTTCCCCTGCCAGACCGATCATGTCTTTCCCTACCAGACCTAATTTCCCTGCCAGATCGAGTCTTCCTCTCCTGCCAGATTAAATATTCCCCTGCCAGACTATGTGCTTCCCCGCAGACAGTGTTAAGAAAATAAAGCATCAATAATTTGTTCCCTCCCTTTCATTTCCCTTCCCTTCCCTTTCCTTCCCTCCTTTCCCTGTTTCCCATGTTTACCAGAGTCTTTTTTCACAATCTATATTTTTTTCCGTGCGGTCAGTGTCGGAAAGGTTCATTTCATGATGTTTCTGGCTTATAACGACGGAAGTTCTTAGAACGTTTGAATCACTACGTTATTCATTTTGTTGTTTTGTTATCTATTTTTTTCACGGCCTTTTCCTCCATTGAAAAATTCAGGTAACATTCACAGGTCTGATGGTCCTTCTCACAGTCACATGCTTGAGAGCCCCTGTCATACTCACAGGAGACTATTCACGGGTTTTGAAGCTTTCCCTCAAATATTCACAGGTTCTGAGTCTCATATTCATATGTTATGAAGCCCTTGACATATTCACATGTTCTTAAACCTCTTACTCATATTCACCGTTTCTGAAGCCTTCTCACAATCACAGGCTTCAGAATACCCCTCTCACAATCACAGGCTTGGGAATCCCTCTCATAATCAGAGATGAAAATCCCTGGTACACTGAAAGTGAAGCAGCAAGCAGTCATCTTCCCAGTCTAACTGGAACTTGTGACCAGGCTGCAAGCCAGCGAGCGAGGCTCAGGGTACAAAACAATTCCACGACAACTAGCTTAAACAGAATTAGACAAACTCTCCATCCTCGCTGAAGATTGGATCTCGGGACTACTATAATACGATAATGATAGCCTAACCAAACTGCCACTTATCTTGTGCTCATTTTGGAGAGCTCGGAGCTGCGGGAGACTGAGATTGGTCATACAATGTGGATAAGCATTATATAACTCGTTGTTTCTTACTCTATCTTTAATCTTAAGTTCAGATATTATCCTCAGTTCAAAACACTGGTGGAAGGGAAGGTTGAGAGGTCCACATTATAGATTATATTACCAGTTTCGTTTGATGAAGTTAATGTTTCACCTACACGGTCGAGTTCAGAGGAGTCAGCAGAAGCAGTAAATATGTCAAGACGATGTACTGCTTCCTCTGTACTCGACTGAAGAAGTCTACTGTGTAGGCGAAACGTTTCGGAATAAAGATACCTAACTGTTGCAGGTGTGTCTTACTTATCAACTTATCGGTATTGATATCATTATGGTATTCATTAATGTACTATGTTTTTCCTCATTTTTTAACCAGGCGGGTTCAGGGGTCAATTTTACATGGTTCTCGTAGACTGTCTTATAACAAGAAACAACTAAGTGGTTGATGGCATTTTCTTGAGACGATGTATCGTCCCCCCCCCCAAGGTCTTCATTGATGATGTCAACGATGTGATGAATCTCCTCAATAAAATACCCTAAACAGCCAATCGTATCCTAGCAGCACACCTGTGTCTATATTTTACGTTATGTCACATCAACACATAAATTTGTCCCCTCTCCCTCACCCACGGTGTGTGTGTCTCACCTCTCCCTCACCCACGGTGTGTGTGTGTCTCACCTCTTCCTCACCCACGGTGTGTGTGTGTCTCACCTCTCCTCACCCACGGTGTGTGTGTGTCTCACCTCTCCCTCACCCACGGTGTGTGTGTGTCTCACCTCTCCCTCACCCACGGTTGTGTGTGTCTCACCTCTCCCTCACCCACGGTGTGTGTGTGTCTCACCTCTCCCTCACCCACGGTGTGTGTGTGTCTCACCTCTCCCTCACCCACGGTGTGTGTGTCTCACAGACTGGGTGTCAGGTGCTGCACATCCTGCTCCACTACTTCCTGGTGTGCAGCTACTTCTGGATGTTCTCTGAGGGCCTCTACCTGCACACGCTGCTGGTGGTAGCCTTTGTATCGGAGGAGCGACTCATGAAGTGGTTTTACCTGCTGGGGTGGGGCGCCCCAGCTATCATCGTAGCTGTCTACGCCGCCGTCAGGGGATCTTCCACTCCAGACACTCAACAGTGAGACAATAGAATTCTCTCTTTTATGACCCTTGTAGAGTTTAATTTTAAGAATAACTTATATTAGATTTTTTGTTTTTTTTCTTGGCGATTTCGGTTCTGTCGTTGTTATATGTTTTAGAGGATAAAGTGCTTTACGGTCTTCAACGATTTTTTGTGTTTTGATGTGTTAGTTACTAGTTGTCAAGGGTATTTGTCGATAGGCACTTGGCTTGTTGTGTGGAATGGTGTGTGCGTGTGTGTGTGTGTGTGTGTGTGTGTGTGTGTGTGTGTGTGTGTGTGTGTGTGTGTGTGTGTTGTGTCTGTGTCTGTGTTTTTGTGTGTTTGTTCATAAATTTACTACAGACAACAGAATAAACATTCACATCAGAGACTGTAACACACGACAAACTCACAGCATCAACGTGAGCAAAAGAAACGTCTTCCACCGTTCATCCTCTACCACTGGTGGGCGAAACATCTCAATAGTAAAGACCTCCAAGTGTTGCACATTAATTTAATAATACACAAATTTCCCTCAAGTCTCTCACTGCACATTTTTTTTTTTCAAATCAGAGATAAATTTGAAAATTCAGATAAGTTAGACGTTACATCAGACTTGATGCTTCCTACGACAGTTCTCCTTCACTAAACTTATTTTCCTGGTCAACCCAAACTTTGTTAGGCCCGGCAAAATCCGTCATATTTGCAGAAATAAGGGATGGAGGGAAGGGGGGAGGGAGGGGATGACTCGACTTCCTGCTGTCTAATGCCTTCGCGGAAATCCATTTGGCTCGGTAAATTCCCCGCCTGTGCAAGCAAGCAAGCAGAGCTTTAAAAAAATCATTGTCAAACTGCCGGCGGAACGAGTCGCAAAATGCTTGTGAGTCTTGCTCGTCTCCGCTGAACCTCCCAGTTATTTACCTCCTTAAAAATTGCGTAATTTTTCGACTACATCCCGGGGCAGACTTAGTGAGGCGTGCATCTCCATGTCTGTGAGGATTATCATTCTCTCTGTCTCTGTCTGTCTGTCTCTCTCTCTTTCTCTCTTTAAAAACGTCTTTCCTTCTTGGCATTCCCACCCAAACAATGCCATTCCTCTCCACCTCTCGTCTACATAATTCATCCTGCCTGATGGAATATGACAGGGAAAACAGCCAGCTGTAATTCTCACAAGGTTCTTTCAGACACACGCACAGAGCGGGTGTTCCCACCATGTAACTATCACACAGGATAGGGTAATTATACGTTGTGGGTGTTCCCCACAATGTAACAGTTATGTAGAATAGGGCAGTAACAGTCTTAGGGTGTACCCAGTTTTCGTCATATACAAATCTGTCTATAGCAACTGCTAGATAGATTATAATCACCAGGCACTAACTCTGCTTATCCATTTATGGAAGCTGTTGGATAGAGGAGAGTCACTACACGCTCATCCTCTCTACGCCCGTGTGTGCGTCTATCCTGGCCAACCTGGTGTTCCTGATCAACATTGTCCGCGTGCTGGTGACCAAGCTGAGGGCCAACCACCTGGCGGCGACGGCAGACACTAGTGGCACCCGCAAGGCAGTCAGGGCCACTCTCATCCTCATACCCTTACTGGGGCTCCACTACGTACTTATGCCCTTCAGGTAGGTGGGGAGCGTGGTATGTGGTGTTGATGATTGGTGGGAAAGAGCCTTCAGCTTCTCTTTCGTCTACTCGTCGAATTGCAGCTCGGTTTCTCTGACAAAATTCTCGAAATGTATCAGATCTTCAGTCTCTCTAGGGAATCCTAAGAAAAAATCTAGCGCAGCTCCTTAGAATTTAATATTCAAAAATACTTATCTGCCGGCAGTCAGCTGAGAGACGGAGAAGATTGAGAGAATATATATATATATATATATTATATATATATATATATATATATATATATATATATATATATATATATATATATATATATATGTATATATATGCAATAAGATCACAGTAAACAGGTGATTTTAAAATATGCAAAACAACCACTGTGAAAGAATAATGAAATTCCAAGCGCTTTCGTGACTACTCACATTGTCAAGGAACTATCCAAGGCAGCCAGCTTTCAAGATCAAAGTCTAGCGCAAGCTGGACTCCAAGGTATTGGTCCAGTGTGAGTAGATTGGTAAAGCACTGCGTACCTTGTTCAAAGGTTCATAGGTTCGAGTCTCCTTCAGCCAGAGATCAGTGTTTGTGTATATTTCGCCTGCTCTTGCGAATTCCTTGCATATATATATATATATATATATATATATATATATATATATATATATATATATATATATGAGGGTCCCCATGACAGTTCTAGAGGTGGTACCTCCCTATATATATATTATATATTATATATATATATATATATATATATAATATATATATATATATATAGTATTAAGTGCAGACAGCCAGCCTCCATGACAATCTGCAAGAGTCGTGACAAATCTATGAACGACTGGAATACAGGAAGACCCGCATCTCCTTAAATCTCTGAACAAAGGAAAGGCTTTGAGGCAGGAGATGACAGTGTGAGCCCAAGATTACTGTGTGGATGTGCTGCCCACCAGCGTTGATGCTCTATCCACCACCGTGGATGTACTATCAACCAGTGTAGATGTGCACCCGCCTACCATCACCTCTCACTAGCCTCTACCAACCTTTCACAGGGTGAAGATCTTCGTGAAAGAAAGCCACTACAGTTCCAGTCTTACAAAATAACCAACCAGGCTGTGACCAGTCACTACTCCCCCTCCTCTTGATCACTAGCAAAACCCTTAAGACAATAATCCCACATATTTAGACAGCCATTATTTACATTATCGTGATGGAATATCCACTCCAACAACCTACTCAGCCTTTTACACACGACTGCATTTTAATTTTGACGCGTATGTAAGAGATATTCTCCGCCGTAGTGCTAGCAATCAGACAAAACAAATAATGATCTCTAGATTGACGGCAGAGGTGTGAGAATAACTGGACGAGTGTTAGCTCTTGGGGGTGAAGGTAGCATCCTGGGGTGAACTTTAACCCCAGGATGGCTATGAAAAACATAACTCGCCGAGACTGGCAAGCAACGTAGCCGAGAAACTTATTGCGAAAAAAAAAAACTGAATGACGAACAAGTTTGGTGTCACTGACATATGCACCACCACTGGATGGTCTACCCACATCCCATCTCTGTTTCCTGGACAAAACAGAGGGTCTCACATCCCATCTCTGTTTCCTGGACAAAACAGAGGGTCTCACATCCCATCTCTGTTTCCTGGACAAAAGAGAGGGTCTTACAAGGCTGGCAAACTCAAACTTCCACTCGTCCTGGTTGAACCTACCATTTCAACAGAGCCTTAAACAACTCACGAAGCCAGTGTTATGTAACTTCATGGCAAGTCGCCGGAAGACAGCTCTTATACAGGAAAACTGGCAGTCATCATCTTCCATTTAACTCCGGCTGAACCTTTGTAAAGAACTTTGGCTCATCAGCAATCACACATTCACGACTGGCTCTCATTAACAACACATTCTCACCTCAAACAAACATTCCACACATTCAACAGAGCCATCGGAAGTTCTGCCTCGCAGATGACTCTCTCTGTTTAATGCCTGATATTAAGTCAAGTATACACTTGTATATTAAATCAAGTACATAATTGTATATTAAGTCAAGTATATAATTGTATATTAAGTCAAGTATATAATTGTATATTAAGTCAAGTATACACTTGTATATTAAGTCAAGTATATAACTGTATATTAAGTCAAGTATCCAGTTGTATATTAAGTAAAGTATACACTTGTATATTAAGTAAAGTATACACTTGTATATTAAGTAAAGTATACACTTTCATATTAAGTTTATAAAACTGAAGCTAATGTTTGAGTCAGACTGTGAAACAAGCTTGTGTAGGATAATATCTGCTGCCTCATGGTATTTAAAGGAGACCTGAACTGTGATCCTGTAGAATCCTTGCCAGAGAGAGAGAGAGAGTAAGAAAAAGAGAGAGTGAGATAGACAGATAGACAGACAGACAAACAGACAGATTGACTGACGGGCAGACAGACTGACAGGCACACACAGACAGAGGATGAAACGAGCTAATAATAACAATTCTTCCGTTTCTAACACTATTCCTTCTTGGCCATTTTCTTTACCTCTCTTTATTACTATTTATTCTCTCATTATTCTCTCTTCTTTAAGTACTCTTTCATTTCCTCTCCAGTTTTCCTTCCCATTTCTCTTTCCGGTCGTTTTCTTCCAAATTGCTTCCCGTTCACCTTCATTGAATCATTTATCAGTGTTCTCCTACACATTTCCGTTCTTTTCGTTTTTTTCCACTACCTTTCGTAATATTTTCCAGTTTTATGAGCCTTTTGCAATTTTTTGTGGGAAAAAAATCAGATTTTTCTTTTCTTTGTTTTTTTTTTCTTTATTTTCATTTTTCAGCTCGTTTTCTCTTTTTTTTTAACCCTTCTTTTTTTTCCACTTTCCATTATATATTTTTTCTCCCTTTCCATTATATATTTTTTCTCCCTTTCCGTTATTTATTTTTGTCCCTTTCAGTTTCTTTTTACTTTTTTCTCAATTCTTCTTCGTTTTCCAGTTTCTTAAATTATCTACGACTTGTTTCCTCAGACCGGCTCCAGGATCCAACGGTGAGCTGGTCTACCAGGTGGTCTCAGCCCTGGTCTCTTCCTTCCAGGTGAGTCAGGTGGTCTAACAGGTGAGTCGGGTGGTCTAGCAGGTAAGTTGGGTGGTCTAGCAGGTGAGTCGGGTGGTCTAACAAGTGAATCGGGTTGTCTAACAGGTGAGTCGGGTGGTCTAACGGTGAATCGGGTGGTCTAACAAGTGAATCAGATATTAAATATGCATAAACCTCACTGAGTCATTATCTACCTAGGAGAGTGCCAAGTTTACACCATTCTGTAACAGTTGTCTAGTTGCTTCACTAGATCCAACTGTAGCTACTTTCCTCTAGAAGTCTCTCAACTATAACTGCACTGAAGTGTTTCCTCTCGCCGAACACAGTGACACATTCACCGTGTCGAACTTCTGGGACTTTCTGTCTATAGAAATCCAGACAATTTCAAAGTTTCGAATTTCCTATTTTGTACTGCCATACCCATAAGCCAACTACGATTTATAAATGTGTTCTGGGATCCGTGATCTAGCGCAGCTGTAACAGCTGGGCCAGGATTGTTATTATTATTATTATTATTATTATTATTATTATTATTATTATTATTGTACACACCTTGCACATTGCAATATGGTGTCTTCCATTCTGACACTGATAACAATTATTTAATTTAGTACTGTAATCTGATACACCTGTTAAGTTTTTCCACTTTATTCACCCCAGTTTTCCAGGAATCATATGCATCACAATTTTTTTTTGAGGAATCATACCTCGCCAAAAAAGACAATGCCTTTTTTGATTGACTTGCCCATTATTTATTGGTTACACTTATTTAGGTACATATTTCTCTTAATTTCCTGTGGTGAACCTTGGTTCCTGCCACTTGATATGTTCCAATATAATTTTTATTCTGGGATGAATTATTATCACAATTATCATCAGGGAATTTCTTCCCTTTGTGTAACTTAACATTATTATGACTAGTTCGTAGTTGTACAAATTAACTCTTGGATACCCACTCTCATCTTTTCCAGGAAGACTCCTTTATGGTATTTATTAAATAGCCACTCTACAGTTCTGCTAGTCAGTTTATTTTGAACAATAGCCGGGTTACCACCTGGAGAAGACCCGGGCCTGGACCTACCCTGGCAAACCCACATGAGCTCAATATCCAAGCTGAACCTCCTGTACCATATTTATTACTTAATGTTTTAAGAGTGCTTTCCAATTTGACTCGAAACTGCTGTAAATTTTTATAATTGTGCTCTGAAATTTTTAAATTAACCACAATTGTCTACATTTTAAATTAACCACAATTATCTACATTTGGAAAACCTTGTATTAAGATATATGTATCACCTCTAGTCCTTGAAGGTAAAATAATTTTGTGACACATTCTATCATGTACAGTCCTGAATATAGACCAGAATTCTTCCCAGTTGTTTCCTGGATTAAATGTAGGTAAATACAGTTGTGGGAGCTTAGCTAGAGAGAACTTATTTATATTGCTAAGCTGGCTAACTGCATTACTTAGACTCATTATTTTAAGGCCATACCTTAATAATTCAATATTTGCTCTTCTCGCAAATATGTTGGGTGATCAAGAACTCCATTTCCTGTTCATCTGAACAATTTTTCAATAGACTCTTCATACTATTTATACACTAATTTGTATGATTCATATGTCTTTTCTAGTGAACCTAAATACAGTTTTGAACTGACACTGTTCACAGTTTAATCAGTGATTATCTCCATGCATTTATTATAAGCTCTAGTTACATGACCTTTCCCTGCATTCAGTGACGCTTTTATTGTGATGCTTTTATTGTGTGACCATTTCATTAATTTTTCAGAGTCCTCCATGGTTAATGAATTGATTAATCTTTGAACAATTAATTTGCACTGTTTTCAACACAGTGACACAGTGACACAGTGACACAGTGATTCACTTTCTGTAATACAACTTACCCTGAATAAATTCTAGTCAAATTTTCTGGCTTAGCATATTATGTATAACACAACTAAAAATCCTAGCCTCATTTGGGATTAGCAACTTAGTGACACTTATAATATTATTTGCATAATACATATTATTACATATTAATTTTATTGTGGACTATTCTCTTTTTAGTCACACAATATACACTATTACATATCAATTTTATTGTGCACCGCTCTCCCCTTAGTCATAAAATGTACATTATTGCACTATTATTTTTAATAGACACCAATAATTACTTCTTTATTATTGTCAAATCACACTGAATTATTTTAATTACTTGATCATAAGCGGTCATCTCTATTTCATTAGGATTAAGATCATTAAGGTCAAGATCATTAAAGTCAAGATCATTAAAGTCAAGATCATTAAAGTCAAGATCATTAAGGTCAACATCACATCCGGTTTGAAGGACCAATAAGGGGCAAGAAATTATGAGGGGGATTATCACAAGAACACAATCTCGAAATTAATATTCCACCCACACTCAGGGGAGAACTCCTGACACATAAACAAATTGCAACTTGCTAAAGTTGATGTATCTAGGAGACTTGTGAGACTTTAGGAACATCTGGTAAACAATGTCCTTCAATACCTACCAATTCAGCTCCCCAATTAGTCAGGAGGATTTGGCTAATTTTGTATTCTGAAATGCCCTCAACCATTCTGGGATAAAGCGTAAAATCATTTGCTCAAATTTTGAGGGGCTCGGGATCTAGTGGGAGGACTTCTTGACGTAAGAACGAAGAATATCTAACACAGGAAACTCACGAACACTTGTCTGTGCTCGTAGTAACCACGGAACCCAACTTCTGCACTCTATAATTACCTTGTTTGAGTCTTGTCTATTTCATCTAGAAGACGACAAAAAATAGCTGATTGATTCAGGCGAGTTGACGAAAATAACGCAAGCAGGTATAGTTCTCAGTCTGGTCAGCCCCGACTCCACAACTAGAATGGGTAGTCTCTGTTTGTGCAGCCTCTGGTGTGTAGTCTTGCGCATATAATGCAGTTTCAAAATGTAGAGAGACTAATGGGACAATGAGTCTGCTTTGTCTTTATGTTTATACGTATTCTTAATGCAGTCCAAAATGCTTCCCCAAGCATTCTCCTCATTTTTTTTCTCTCGTATACATCATGTTTGTTGCCGTTTTCTGTGATCCTAGAGCTGGCGTGGCAAAAATTCCATTTCTCCTGTGTATGGAAGAGATGGTAATTCCCAAGTAATAGCAACTCCAACTTTGTGGGAAGGAAATCTTTGAAGTTGGAATATACCAGCTTATGCTGGCAATGTAAAGCACTCTATTAGAAGCCGATCCTGTGTGACGGAGTATGACAGGGAAAACCTAACTACCTGGAGTTTACCTGGAGAGAGTTCCGGGGGTCAACGCCCCCGCGGCCCGGTCTGTGACCAGGCCTCCTTAGGTCAGTGTCCAAGGATGCGACCCACACAAGTCGACTAACACCCAGGTACCCATTTTACTGATGGGGAACATAGACAACAGGTGGAAAGAAACACGTCCAATGTTTCTACTCTGGCTGGGAATCGAACCCAGGCCCTCACCGTGTGAAGCGAGAGCGTTAACCACCAGGCCACCAGAGCCCTAGCTTTTGTTCCCACTATGCAGTTAGTATATAGAATAGCGTAGCAGAACATTGCTGGATAAAAGTTACCCATTTGCTTAACGATTCTAATTAAAATTGCAGGTAAGAGTGGTCGTCCACAAAAGCTGTACCATCACACATTGCTCTCGTAAGAACACTAATACTTAATCATTTTTTGCCAGTATTACGTTAAGACACTTAAATGCAGTTTTATTGATAGATTAATGCAATCTATTAACTTTAAATGTCCGCTTTTGTTTATTAGTTATTAAAGCTAAGCCTTGAGGGAGAGAGGGGAGGGGAACGGGGGTCCAACAGGACACTACCCCAGGACACCAGCATTCTTAGGACTAATCAATCCATGCGATTAAATGTCTGTATATTCACTTGTTTATACTTCTAACAAAAGCTTTTCACATGTTCAGAATTATATATATATATATATAATATAATATTATATATATATATATATATATATATATATATATATATATATATATATATTATTAATATATATATATATATATATATATTATATATATATAATATATATATATATATAATAGTCCTGTGAGTGAGTCCTATATTCCCTCAGCTACTGCGAACCTAATGTCAGTTGCCTTATCACCATCGCTTTGTCCAACCCTTAGATAAAATGCCTCTCGTGGGTAGGCAATCGGTCGGCAGACACTCGGCTGCCAACCCAGCAGTACGACTGCCAACCCAGCAGTACGACTGCCAACCCAGCAGTACGACTGCCAACCCAGCAGTACGACTGCCAGCCCAACCACCCGGATATTATACTCTCCTGTCCCTTTTTTTCCAGGGCTTTTGTGTGGCGCTGCTGTTCTGCTTTTGTAACAGTGAGGTGAGTCAGCCCATTTTATTTCCTTTATCATCATGGCTTTCATAATTTCTAGCAGTTTTATGGGGTTGTGCGTTCAGCATTATTTACACTGTAAGAATAGTTTTATCTGTTGGTATATTCAATATTCATTTGTTGAAAAGAATATATTTCTTGTTTAGAGTCATTTTTTTTTTAATATGTAAATTTACGAACGTATTCTTTACAACTTGGAATATGTTGACTTTCATATTCATTATATGCTCAACTCTGTACTGTCCGCTTTCTAAGTCCCTTCTGACACCATTCTTTACTTTCTAGTGCTTTCTAGGACGCTCTTAGTTCATTTAACACAGCCACGTCTTAGTTTCTAGATGTGTCATTTAACACTTCCTGATTTGTGCTAACACCTATTGACATATATCACCAGATAATGCATTCTGACTACGTCGTCTAATCGCTCAACACTTCCTAACACTGCTCAACACTTCCTAACACTGCTCAACACTTCCTAACACCGCCTAACACTTCCTAACACTGCTCAACACTTCCTAACACTGCTCAACACTTCCTAACACTGCTCAACACTTCCTAACACTGCTCAACACTTCCTAACACTGCTCAACACTTCCTAATACTGCTCAACACTTCCTAACTCACTCGCTCAACACTTCCACGAACTCTAACACTGCCAACACTTCCTAACACTGCTCAACACTTCCTAATACCGCTCAACACTTCCTAACACCGCCCAACACTTCCTAACACTACGTAGCACTGCCTAACACCACTTAAGCTAACCTCCTGAACTAAGGCATCTCTTTCCTAGGTGGCACTAGCATGAAAAGCGATGCACAGTTCAGTTCAACAGGGACCAACCACCATCTCCTATCACCAAAAAACTGGTCGTCTTCTATGTTAGTAGCGTCTGCCTGCCTCTACTGCTGCTCTGTCTGCCTGTACGGCCGTCTCTACTGCTGGCTCTACCTGACTTTACTGCTGCCTCTACCTGCCTCTACTGCTGCCTCCACGGCCGTCTCTACTGCTGCCTCTACCTGCCTTTACTGCTGCCTCTACCTGCCTCTACTGCTGCCTCTACCTGCCTCTACTGCTGCCTCTACCTGCCTCTACTGCTGTCTCTACCTGCCTCTACTGCTGCCTCTACTGCTGCCTCTACTGCTGCCTCTACCTGCCTATACTGCTGCCTCTACCTGCCTCTACCTGCCTCTACTGCTGCCTCTACTGCTGCCTCTACCTGCCTCTACTTTTGCCTCTATCTGCCTCTACTGCTGCCTCTACCTGCCTATACTGCTGCCTCTACCTGCCTACACTGCTGCCTCTACCTGCCTTTACTGCTGCCTCTACCTGACTATACTGCTGCCTCTACCTGCCTCTACTGCTGCCTCTACTGCTGCCTCTACTGCTGCCTCTACTGCTGCCTCTACCTGCCTCTACTTTTGCCTCTGCCTCTACTGCTGCCTCTACCTGCCTATACTGCTGCCTCTACCTGCCTACACTGCTGCCTCTACCTGCCTCTACCTGCCTTTACTGCTGCCTCTACCTGCCTCTACTGCCGCCCTACCTCTAGTGTTGTACCTGTTGCTCTAGCTGTATGTGTTAGGTAAAAGGACACAAGTGCTGCTAATGTGACATTTTATTGTGTCAACGTTTCGCTCTCCAGGAGCTTTGTAAACCTGTTACAAAGAATGCAAGGATACAAAAGGAATATATAATAACGTGAGGTGAAAGAGCAGAAGCATTGCAGTGGGCCTACTGGCCTATGTTGTAGGTAGGTAGTAGTAGTAGTAATTCTTGGTTGTTGTGTGAGAGTAGAGTTTATTGTTTTGAGTAGAATTCTTACTAATATCTCAGAAATGACGAAGCTTCCTTTATTTTGTTTTATAGGTTCTCAAATGTCGGTTAAAGATCATTCAAGGCATTTATATCTGCCGAAATTTGCTTCTGTGATCACCAGGCGAGCGTCACTATATTTCTTTTGATGATTGGAGGAGTTCCTGCGCTGTACCCGTGAGTTGTTCATCTTGTCGTTTCTTCATGTAATGATTTGTTCACTGAGACGTGTTTATAAGGTTCGTGCTGTTTCATCGACGTATATCTTGTCACAGCTTCCGCAAGGGATTGTGTAAACACCGGCGTTGATCGTCTCAAGGTGGATGTGTTGGTTGCGATAGTGACTCTAGTTTTGGCTTGTGGGGACTTTGATGGCTGTTGTTTAAAATGATGTTAGTGTGTGGTGAATTGGTGGTTTGCAGGGTTCTTGATGAAAGAGGGAGGAAACTGTTGGTCAGTGAAGGCTTGGTGTATGTATACACGTTTCACGTCTGCAAATTCGGTGCGTTTCTTAGGAAAAATCTGATGATGCTACTTCGTTTGGTCTTAGTATCCTGACTGGAGTAGAAGTGTACGAGATAGTTTTTGTTTGTAGGCCGCCTGTAAACATTGCCACAATAAAATGTCACATTAATTGCACCTGTGTCCTTTTACCTGACATACTGTCGGTAACTCAGCCATTCTTCTTAGTAGTGCCCGTTGCTCTTTCTGATTTTTTGAGTTTCACCTAAGTATCAAATTTTACCTTTGTCTGCAAATCTAATTGTTTGTACCATTACGTCTAGTGTTGCTTGTACCAGTACGTCTAGTGTAGTTTGTACCATACTTCTAGTGTTGTGTTTACCAGTACCTATAGCGTTATTTGTACCACACTTGTAATGGTGTTTGTAACAGTACCTCTAGTGTTGTATGCAACAGTCGAATGACCCGAGTAAATTGCATGTACTTTTTTTTTTAATAATAATTCGGCACTGTGGATTAGAATCAAGGGCCTTTATCCCTCTACAATTTCTTTACCCTCCTGCCTCCCCGGGTCCAAGATATCAGTAAACACTCTGTGTCCACATCTTTATAAATGGAGTCAATTTTTAAGCATCATTTCTTTATTTAGTGACCCGAATTTCAGAGAAAGGTTAAAAAAGAGTCGGGGCTAGACCCAACAGCAAGCATTTATAGAGCAGCACATACTCTATATAAATACTCTATAAATGCATTACAATGCCTTGCTGTTGGGTCTAGCCCCGACTCTCTTTCCTTTCTCTGTAATTGTTTTCCTCTCCCCCGTCTATTCTTCAACTACCCCCCACTTCCTCCTAACCACTAGTGGGTTCTTACCTGTGAGTCTCGTCTGTTCTCTTCTGTAAAGAATGACTTAGTTTTATTTTCGGAGCATTTTTGTTTTGTTATGCAACGTCAGCAATAATAAAGTCCAGTGTGTCATCGTCTGTGTTGATATTTGTGCTGAACGGAATCTCTTCTGATTTAAATAATTTTCAGGTACTTTTTGTTTTATCTATAATTTCTACTACACACACACACACACACACACACACACACACACACACACACGCACACACACACGCACACACACACGCACACACACCCACACACACACACACACTTGAAACTAAAGAAAGCTCACAGACTTAAAACAGGACAAGGATCAAGAGAGACATGATAACGATATACAGAATACTAATTGGATTTGATAAGGTGGAGAGGAATAGACTTTGCTAGAGGCACCACGACACTGTGGAATCCAAAGTCAAAGTCGAGACAAAGGGATGTCAGGAAATAGTTTTTCGGACTCAGGATGGTCAGGGAGTGGAATTACCTGGACGACATTATATTAAATACATAGCTTCAGGAATAGGTATTACAGAACTCACGATGCTAGGAGGGAGTGATCCCGGTAACGGGCGGTTGAAGAGACAAGGCCAGACTTAATTCAGGGAATTAGAGCACAGATCCAATTCAGTTCAAGATCCCCTCACCAGCATCAAGGAACCGCCTTTGAGGGGCACAAATAGGTGAATATATACACAAAACGTGCATTACATATGAATTTCTGGCTTAGGTTGTTGAGATGTACTCTGAGGTGGTACGTTCACTCACAGGATGAGTGGTTGAAGTAAGGCGTAGCTCACAAGTACTAAAACAAAACACACTCGACAAGAGACCATTATTAGTACCAGCGTCTCACTTACGTGGAAGTGAAACGTCGTAAAAATTAACGCTTCCTTTCGCTGAATATATATTTTTGTTTACAACAGGACGAATGACACTGACCAATAAACTCGCCTTTTTTGGGGGTAAAAACCTCGAGTCTTCTTTTTCTTTCTCGTCTTCCCCAGGGTTCCCAGGGTCGGGCATCCTCCGTCCTGCGCAAGTCTTCAGCTCTGAGAACGACCTTCACCCGCGCCCAGCACCGCAGCATCTTGGAGATTCCCGGAGAGTCTCCTTGGGCCAATACAAGAAGCATCGTCATGGACAACCCCAGCAGAAGTGTCGTGGAGGAGGAAGATTATTTCGGCTCTAGAGAAGACTGTGCCGCAGAGGACCAGCGTTCAGCGGAGCTGCGAAGGGATTCTTGCGCATCTAGTGTTGACTTCGATGTTGGAGGGGCTCTGTACGCGACGCAAGCGGAAAGGAGCGCAGTAAGACAGGGTTGTGGAGACATAGTTGTGGAGACTCATTGCGTTCGAGGAATTGAGGGAGATGAGATGGAGTGTCCGAACATCATCGTGGTTAAGCCAGACCGCTACGCGATGTTGGAGAGCGGGACGGGAGTGTCCGGTGGTAAGGGAAGTTGTGTTGGTGAAGGGAGGAGAGGAGGACTGCTGAACGCTGTTAGCCAAACAAAACAAATCCCTCGCGAAGTGCTGGAGTTGAAGCCAGTCAAAGCCACCGTCCATCAGTGTTAGGATAGTCACCATGCGCCAAGTCGCAAACAGCAGGCTAAACAATCAACGATCGTGGCCGCGATCAGCGGGCAGGAGAATCGAGTCTTTACCTCTTCTTTGCGTTGAAAGAAACCCACGCACGGGTTTTGCGCTTGTGCGGAAATCAAATACAAACAATAGCAATTCCAGCCAGATATATTTCTGAGTAGACTAATCTCTGAAAAATGACTTAAATTAAGAAAAAATGTAAAAAAAAAAAAAATGTCTGACAAGGACATAATGAAGACGTAACGAAGATGCATAGCGAAGAACGTAAAGAGAAAAAAAAACATAAATAAAAAATAAAGAGTAACGAGAAAAGATTAATCAACGCGGTTATAAAAAAAAATTTAAAGAACATAAATTTATGAATAAAATTATTAAATGTAAAAGCCAACTCTCGGAATAAAAAAAAAAAATAATTTACAGCAGATTACACACGTGTAAAAATAAATTTCCAATTTACATAAATATTTACAAAATGTCCTCGGTGATTATATATATCAACTTGCTCGGGTAAATAAAAAACTTTGCCTAGCCAAATATATAATTTTATATATATATATAATATTATATATATATATATATATATATATATATATAATATATATATATAAATATATATACTATATATTATATATATATATATAATATTATATAATATATTATATATATATATAATATATAATAATATATATAATATATAAATATATAATATAGTCATAAAAAAGTCCAAAAAACCAAATATGAACATATTACACAGCATCATGATTTACAATGTGTAAATTTACGAACGAAAAACGAATTGAGAGGGGAAAAAAAACAACTCCAGACTAAAGCTTAAACGTAAACTGTGTTTGGTAATAAATGTGTAATGTTTAACGTTTTAAGATTGTGCCATCTACGTGGA